GTTTCACTGACCTCGGTTGTACACGACCGCATGCAGGGGATACACATATCACTAATTATTACATGGCGCAGTGATATGTGTATCCCCTGAAGACAGCCATTATCTAGGCTATCTACCAAAGAATAAACGTTGATTATTATGAAACTTGCTAGCAATATTCGCAGTATAGCGATGTATACAGCTTGAGCCTTAACATATCTTACAAAAAGTCGAACTGAAAAGTGGGTGCAGGGGATACACGAGTGCCACTAATCATTTTATGGGGAGCGGGTCGAAAAAAGTGATATGTGTTTCACTCCACGAATAATTCAGATGCAAACAAGGCGATGAACAGTGGACAATATGCGTTACTTGAGGGGTGAGAATGCACCGTGCAATTAATATCGTCCTAGAAATCCCGTGCCATGAAAGTCAAATTGGAATATATCTAGATCCATTTGGTGTTCAACTTTAAATTCATTATCTCCTGCTCGCAGAAAACCAGTGAGGATCAAGAACACAATTCCAGCAGCAGATACGTAAGCTTTTTCAACCACAAAAATTGAGATTTGTGTTTTAAGTCTGTTTTGGTTTGTCATTCGTCCAGTAAGCAACCGGACGATGAGAGCGCTTTCAAGGAGGATATTGCTATTTAAAGTAGAGGGGAGGGGGGTGGTGGATACACATATCACTGGCCGCCATTTTGGAGGGGATACACATATCACTAGTGATATGTGTGCAGGGATACACATATCACGGGGATACACATATCACTGTGACACTGGTTTATGCTAAACTACAACGAAAATTATGATTGTTCAAACTCATTCAGTTCTACAAATGAATGGGTGATTTTGATTCTAATCAGCTCGATTTGCACTGTCTCAAATAGATTAGTGGAATTGTGAAGCTCCCCCAATCTTATCAAGCATCTTATCATTAAGTTTTGGGTTAAGCCTGGTTGTCATATCCCACTGACCTACCTGCGAAGTAGTCGCTGGTTGGAACTGACAACGTTTGGCGATCTGTTCCAGTGGGTCCCCAGCGCATCTGTGATGGATCGCCCACGTTCTCAAATTGGCATGAAATGCAAAATCAAATTGGCGCAATTTTCAGCCATTCCACCTGTAAATATGGATTGAATCGTCTTACTGGAGTATGTTGCATCCGCAGGTGATGTTCACATAAAATATTTTCATCACCGACAATCTCCACCAACTGCCAGCTTTCCTGCGAAGTTGAACTCAGCTCAACTTTGCAGGCAAGCCAGTGGTCAATGCCTGGGACAGATTATGATTCGGTGATAAATGTTCACCTATGCCATAATGGTGTCCCAAGCTGTGCTGGCGGCTATGTCCCAGGTATGTCTGTGGCATATGAGAACCAGGCTTTACCCACTGTCTTGATCTTTGCACCAGTAATACATTTATGATTGTTGCTTTGTGGGTGAATTAATTAGATTTCTACATGCAACATGCAATTTGTCCCATAAGATCAAAGGCCCATAAAGCATACTCAGCCATAGCAAGTTACAGGTTATGTAATAGGTTACAGGTTATGACTGTACTGAACACCACCTCTCCACCGGTAGATTGTGGTATTTTCACTCCCCCCCCCCCTCCCAAGTAAATTGTGGCATTTTCACCAAAAGTTAATATAATAAAGTGGCTGGCCTTGGCTGTTCAAAAGGCGAATAATGCTATCCATTTGATAAACAAGCAGATAACATACTTTGTTTTGTCAAGATTTTCAACCACTGGAGAGCAATTTATCCAGTGAGCAGTATTATCCACCCTTTGAACTATTGGGTCCAAATGTACAGTACTTTGATTTGTTTGTTGCAATAATATTTTAATTGGTATGTTTTCCATAGAGATACTGGAATGTTTTGGGTTTTGCCAACACACACTCAATTTCCATTGACTGCATGTTGACAGGTCATGCAAACCTGAGTATACTGCTGACTGACCTTTATTATGAATGATGATTATCAGGAGACAATATCTCTGAAAAATAACATCATAAACCACAGATGTTCTTTGGTTTGTTACAAAACCATAAAGTCCCATGTTAAAGCCCTGGGTTTACATAACTTCATAAGGGGTTTTGGATGGGCTCATAAACAGGGGAGCTTATATCTGGGGGACATATAAGTGGAATAAACAAATGTTTTGGAACAACAAGATTAAACATATCTGAGAAACGAATTAAAGCTAACATACTATTACAATTAGAGCTATTACCTTATTGCCCTATTACCATATTACCCCATTAGCCTATAACTTTTGATTACAAATGTTGATCTTTGTAGAGAAATGCAAAAGGAACGCACTTATACATTAGATGGGCTTATATCTGGGCGGGGGGGGCTTATAACTGGGAAGGCTTTAACATGGGATTTTATGGTATATAGTTAGTTGTGTAATTTTCAGCAGAACTTGATCCTCTAATTGTTTTGGTCTCTTTGCTGAAACTCTCCGGATTTCCATTTCCAACCAGTCGACAGGTTGGTGCAGACAGCACTTCTTCACTTAATGCATGTCAGAGCTGTGAAAGGAATCCACTCTCTCCTCCCCACCCCTTTTGAACCTCTGCCACTATATGCAGGTTAAATTTTGAAAATTGTTTTGTTAAATCAATTAAGTCAATGGTTTTTTTTTAAGGATGGTTCATACCTCGCTGAGTTGCTGCTCTCAAAAGATTATGAGGTAAGCACAAACTTTTAACGTTTAATGGTAGCAAATTTAAATGTTTGAGTATAATTCACATCTCATATTATGTATACTTAAAGTGGATTATTTGCTTTTGAAGCATTTTCCATATGTGCCTGAATTTTTGCCATTTAGGTGTACCAGTAATTATTTATTTCAATATACTTTACTTACCAGGTGCATGGAATTATAAGACGATCTAGCTCTTTCAATACTGGGAGAATTTCTCATTTATATGCTGATTCTAGGTCTCATAAAATGGGAGGTATGTATCATTGACTAGTGGTGCGCAGATACACATGTATGCCATAGCTATGTGATACATATTGCATTTTATAGTCATTAGTATAAGACATTTGTTTGAAACATTGCTTTCTTAGAAAAAACAGTACAATGAATATTATCGTTTTCTAAACCACTCTAAATATTGCATTTCCTTGATGAAGTACCAGTTTAATAACCATGTTAATGAACTGATGCCAGAAGTGCTTAATATTGATCAGCATTGTATGGTACAAGAAAGGATCAAAGAATACCCCTCTTTTAATACATCAACACTTCCTCACTATTTCAAGTTTTGTGTTTCCATGTCCTCCCTAGTCTTAAACAGACTAAACACACGGTCTTTCATATGCATAATTAACACCCACAATATTTCTCTCTTTTGGGTTCTTGGTCCATACTGTATATTTACATAGATCTATCATGCTTACTTTTCAATGAAGAAATAGCCTCTATTGTAATTTGGCAGGGCAAGGCCCTGGTGGTTTGATGATATTTTAAAAATTTATTCCTTACCCTATGTGTATAGATGATCGTATGAGTGCAAGTGCAATTAACGATTTACATTATGAGTGATATTTGAAAATTTACTCAAAATTGCTCAAGCCTTTAGGCAAATGCAATTTGAAAGAATTTTCAAATATCACAAGTAGTGTAAATCCTTAATTTTTCGTATGACTACTCATTAATTATATGACTGAGAAAATTGGGAACACTTGTTTGTTAATTTGCACCGCAGTGCATAAATTGGCCTGCTCTCAACCAATCTCATTGAAATAATTTTCTTAGTCATGTAATAAAAGTGTTATTTCTCAGTTCCTGAAACAACAACACAATTTTGATTTTGCTTTCTAAAGGGACATCTTTGCCTCTAATACTGGGATTAAAATTTATTTTTATTTTCAGCCATGAAACTACATTATGGGGACCTCACTGACAGTACAAACCTAGTAAAAATTATTAACGAGGTAAACTTTTTTATATTTAAACATACCAGTATATAAACTTAACTTGGATGGAGAGGGCAAGTTGTAATTTTTGCACCTTTATTTGCTATTCTGCAATCTTGAACATCACAACCTAAATGCAACCCTAATAATTCATTCAGTTTCCCAAAATTTGTTCTGGTGTCTATTATTCAAGCACCGAAAATTTACCTTTATCTGGATCAGGTATCTTTATCAAGTGTGGTATTTTTGTGCTAATTATGGAGTCCTTGTGAATACTTGTTATTTATTCCCTTACAGTAAATTACAGTAATCTTTGATACTACTCACTTGACCGACTCCTAGTGCGCATGACCGTAACGCAATATAGCGACACTACATCTCTCCTTTCCTCTGAATAATGAGCTAGGTAAAGCTTAAAAACGAAACTCAACATGTTGCTTCCT